CTGTGTGGCGGTGTGAGCAGCTTTGTGGGCGCAGGCGGGGGTGGGTGCAGAGGGACTGGGCTGAGTCGTGGCGAGCCGTGAACTGAGAGCTCCCATCGGGTCGCTTCTCAAGCTCCTGGCGTGCCCGAGCCGTCCTTAGGGGTGACAGCCCCGAGCCTCGGTCCCCGATGTGGGTGAAGAGAAGGCGGTCTCCCCCCACCCCGCCTCAGTGCCTCCTGTCTGCCGTCAGGTGACCCCGAAGTCCAAGCGGAAGAGCATCCACAGCCGCATGCTGCGGCCCGTGTCCAGGGCCTTCGGTGAGTGAAGGTGCTCGCCGTTCCACGAGCACTCCCAGGCCAGGTGGCCCGCACTTCCTGGGGGGCTCCGGGAGCACGGAGGAGGAGCCCGGGGCTGGGCTGGCGTCGTGGTTCCGTGGCGACTGGAGCTGACACCCGGGACCATGTCATCGCTCTGCATTAAACTCTGGCCTCGGGCCTTGCTTTGTCCCAGAAATGGAGTTCGATCTCGATAAAGCCCTGGAAGAGGTGCCCATCCACGTCGAGGACCTGCCCTTCCCCTCCGTCAGGCCAGAGAAGCGGGGTTCGGGGTTCATCTCTGAGCTGCCCTCGGAGGAGGGGAGGAAGCTGGAGCACTTCACCAAGCTGAGGCCCAGGCGGAACAAGAAACAGCAGCCCACCCAGACCGCGGTAGGTGGCGCCGCCCCGGAGCCAGAGTCCCGCTCCGTGCGCCATGCAGAGCAGCACAGGCTGCAGGGGCTCCCACCTGGGCCAGGTGTGCGGGCGTCTCCCTCGGTGTGCGGGGACTCTGGAGACCGCCATTGCAGTCTCCATCCTCAGGACACAGCCCCTGGGGGTCCCTAGAAACTGTCAGATGTGGAGGGATGACGAGGCCTGTGTGCAGCACGTCCCAGCGTCGGCGTGGGAAGATGGCAGATAAGCACCAAGCCATCTGTCCCTGAAGTCACCTATGTTCGACCTGGGGTGCACACCGGGCCTCGGAAGCTGGCCTGGACTCAGACCTGCCCTCTCAGGCATGCGTGCCCACGGGCCTGTGATTTATCTGGTCACCCTGGCTGCTGTCTCCTCTCCCCTCGATGCAAACTTGTTGGAGAGGCTTGTGCATGGCCGCCAACTCTGTCCTGCCCCACAGTCGGCCATGGTCTCCCTACACTCCTGCCCACTGTGCTGCCTAGCAGGGGCTGTCCCAGCAGTCCACCCCCTACCCTGCTGCCCCGGAGCCCCGGGCCTCCCACACCTGCTGTCAGAGCTGGACTCGGCCGCTCTCTGAGCCCAGTGGGCTGACAGGGCCCCTGTCCACAGGTCTGCGCTGTCAACGCGGTCCCCCATGACGGCGAGCAGAACGGCCTCATGGGGAGAGTGGACGAGGGCGTCGACGAGTTCTTCACCAAGAAGGTGACCAGGATGGATTCCAAGTGAGTGCAGTCTTCACTGGTGACGCCGTTAACCCCGACTTAAGCTGCCAGCAGTCGCGGTTAAACCTGACCTGCGCAGTCTCACATGTGGGGCTCGCTCTCTGACGGCGTGCACGACAGCACCCGGGCTGGGGGAGCACCACCCGGCACGGGCAGAGGTGAATCCAGAACCCTGGCGGTGGGGCCCACAGTCCGCTCTGCACAGGGTACACCGAGACAGCCGTGAGGTCGAGGGGTCTCTGAGCTGGAAGGGACGGCCCCGAGGTGTGCTTCGGAGCCGGGTCTGCGTCTGGCAGGGCACTGCATGCTGGGACTGTTCCTTGGGAATTCCCCGCGCCGTACATTGGCGTGGGAGCCCTTGTCACTTAGTGGCTCGGTTGATGGACTGTCAGGATGGCCAGGCCGCTGGCGCCGAAGGGAGCTCTCTTATCACTAGCGACTCCTCCAGGGATAGCCAGGACTCTGCTTCCACGCGTGGGCTGGCACACCCATCTCTAAGCGTGACCCGTGTCGTGTTTGCTCCCTCCTGGTGCACGCCCATCCCCAGATACGCTCCATGGTCTCATCCAGACGCCGCGTAGCCCGCCGAGCCTGGGTGGCCTGTGAGGTGGGGCGGGCGAGACCTGCTGCCCTGCTTACCTCGCTGTGGCAGGAGGCGAGGTGACGGGACGCTGCCTGACACTCTGTTCTTGCCTCTCCCGCCCCGCCCTGAAGCGCAGCGTCAACCTGCTGTACTCGCAGTCCCGTCCTCCGTCCTCCCAGCTCTCGAGGGCCTGGCAGTCACCCGCTCTGGGAAGCTCCCCACCCCGGCTCCTTCCCCAGCTCGGTGTTGTCTCACCCACACCTGTCAGCATGCAGAACACGTGGTCTGTAATTCTTGCGTGGCCCAAGGCGTGGACAAGTGCATTTTCAGCATAAAAACTCAGGCAGGCCCTCCATAAACGGAGCAGAGGACGTCCCTCTCGGTGACTGACTGGACTCAGTTGCCAGTGGCACTCTCGGGGCAGCAGCCCCGGCCTTCCTTGTCCTCGGAGCTCCCATGTCTGCAGCCACGGCCCAGCCTCCCCCATCGCGGGGCGGCCTGAGTGGGCCAAGCAGCCTCGGTCACCTCGTATAAACTGCGGGACGTGGAGGCCCTCGCCTCCTCAACCACAGCAGAGCGTGCACAGTGTGCGGAGTCCTGAGCCTGGGGTCCGCGGTGCTGTCGCCACCCCGGGCGACTTTGCCCTGCTTCGCCACTTCCTGCCCTGATGGGCTCTGCAGGAAGGCTGGGTGGACCTGTGAGGGCAGCCTGTCCTCTGCCGGGACTGCTCTGAGGCCTCGTTCTCGTTTCAGTGACAGTCGAGCTGGACCCGTGGGTGTCCACCCATAGTGAGGGACTCTGCTAAGAACTCCAGCTTTTTCATTTAATTTTGTTGAAAAAAATCAACTATTGTCAGGTGTTTTTTTGCTATAGGGCGCGTGCGCTCACCAGAAAGACAGAAAGCGAGAAATCACTCCCCAGGTGGGATGGCTATGCCACAGTCCCTTCTCCTCTTAGGATCTTGGGCACATGTGCACACACAAAAGGTGTGAGTTTAAGCCACCGGGTCTGGGACTAGAACCATGGTCGACTACATGGGATTCCAGCAACATAGCCATTATGCTAACTGCTGGTCCCTGAACTATTTATTTCTTCATTTCTTCCCTTTTTCTCTGCAATTTTTCTTAAACTTCTGTTATTCATTTGTGTATATCCTCTATTCATTAATTCTTAACTTTTTTTAAAACAATTGTTTTATTTAACTTTATTTATTTATTCATCTATTTCAGTTTGACCAGGTAGGGACAGAGAGAGAGAGAGAAAGCAAGCCACCAGGTCCAGGACTCGAACTGTGGTTTGCCCTGTGGGAATCCAGTGCCCTTAACCACCATGCCACTTGCCGGCCCCTAATTCTTACCTTCTCTTTACTATTTTCTTCTTTTTTCTTATTTCGCACCTTCCTTTCCTGCCGATGGGAGGCTGCCTCGCGTAGCCCCAGCCCCCAGCTTCCCACTCGCTCCCATTTTGCTCTTACTGTTACTTTGGGAATGTAGCATCCCCCTCCCCCGAGATGGCAGGCCTGAGGCTGGACGTACTTGGCAGTCCGGGGCGTGAACTGCGGACCTGCACCAAGGTGCTCTGCGGTCTCTCTGGGGGTCGGCCTCTCTCAGAGCCTGCACCACTGCTCTGTGCTGTGTCGCCGGGTCCCGGGTCTTAGCACTGTGCTCTACAGCCCCCGCCCGTGTGGCTGGGAGGTACGCGTCTGCCTTCCTGGGTCAGCCGGTGGTGGAGTGGTTAGAGCAGCTGGGTCCCACAGGGCCAACTGTGCCGTTCGAGTGCCACACCTGGGGACTTAAAAATCCTACCCAGAATCCCCAAAGGAGGAAGAAATTAAGAAGGGATTGTGGCGTGACTATCCCCCTTGAGGGGTGCTTTCTCACTTTCTCTCTCCCTGTCCCTGCCTCCTGCAAACATACCTGCCCTCTAGCAAATTAACAACAGGTTCCCCCTGCTCCGCAGTATGGCGGCTGGCACGCCAAGTAGGGCGGCTGGCACGGCGTCTCTAAGCCCCCAGGCAGAGGCCGTCTGCCTGTCTGCACGTCCGCCCGTCCCGGCGAGCTGTGCTGAGCGAGGCCGCTGTGCTCTCACAGGGTCTGTGTCTGCTCTGAAATGCAGGAGGTCGTCGGCCCAAGGCTCCGAGTCCCAGGAGCTGAGTGAGGGAGAGGAGAAGAAGAAGCGAGAGTCCCGGAGAAGCGGCTTTCTCCACCTCATTAAGCCTCGGTCGAGATCCGAGCGGCCACCCACGGTCTTGATGGCGGAAGAGCCCTCCTCACCGAAGGGGGCCCTCCAGAGCCCGGCCACTGGCACTCCTGGGAAGGACATGGAGACTGCCGAGCCCAACGGCAACCCGGAGCAGGCAGAGGGGACCAAGACCTCCGATGCCCTGGAGGAGAGTCGGGACGAGGCCGGGCAGCTGGAGCGCCGGGACAGCAGGGGCAGCCCCCCCGGGGGGCGGCGGTACGGCGTGCAGGTGATGGGTGGCGGCCTGCTGGCGGAGATGAGGGCCAAGCAGGGCCAGCGGGCGGCCGGCGTGCAGAAGGTAAGGGCTGCCTCTGTGCACTCCTTCAGCGTAGGGGTTGCCGGTTCTGCTGTCCACCTCCCTCCCCTATGGTCACCGACGTGCAGACCTGCCCTTGGGGTCCCTGCCCTGACTGCGCCACTCCGAGCTGGCTTCTCCAGGGAGGAAGCTTGCACCTCTGTTTTATTGAAGTATCAGCGCAGAGCGGGTCCCCCCATAAACCCACGTTGTCAGAGTTAACTGCACAGGAGGCCCCAAGGCTCAGTCACTCGGGTGCGGACGGCGGGTGTGTCGTCCCAGCTGCATCCCACAGCGCGTGATCTTACCGCCTGCGCTGTGGTCCTCACCCACACCAGCACCACGGCAGTGGCTGGGCCTCCTGGCTGACCGGGAGCCTCCGAGCAGAGCGGGGGAGTGGGCCGTCACTGGGCTGGGCAGGGAGGCGGGCGTGGCCTGAACCTGCAGCTGGTGCTGGGCGGGGCGGACCCCCAGGGCCTTGCTTCTGTTATATGGGTTTCTCCCTTCCTTCCTTCCTTCCTTCCTTCCTTCCTTCCTTTTTTAAGAGATTTATTCTATTCATTATTATTATTATTATTTTATTTGCTATAGGGCACGTGTTCTCATGAGAAAGAGAGAGACAGAGTGTAAGCCAGCAAGCCACCAGGCCGGGACTCGAACTACAGTGGGTCGCATGGCAGTCCAGTGCCCCGGTCACCACGCCACCTCCTGGGCCCTCGAGTGTCCTCCTAACACTGACTGGGTTGCCGCTTGTGCTGTGAGCCGTGGCTGCAAGCAGCGCTGGGTGGTGGGGAGACAGCCAGTGTGGGCACGGCTTTCCAGTCCTCTGGGCTCGCCGCACCTGTGCCGCACGGTGGCCGCTGTGTGCTCCTGTGTGTTCGAGGCTTACACGGCGATCCCACGGCGCCCTCTAGCGTCCACTCGGATCGACGGTGTCGTTGCCCCCACCGGGATGTTCCCATCAGCCCACAATAATGAAATAATTCTGGATGGTTACTTGCTAGACTCCCACAGTCGCGTGTGGTTCGAGTCCCTGCCCTAAAAGTCATGCCGGTACGTGTACGTGCGTGCCCAAAGTCCCAAGAGGAGAGCGGAGGAGAAGGGACTGTGGCATGGCCACCCCTGCCCTGGGGTGGTTTCTCGCTTTCTGTCTCTCTGTTTCTCTGGCGAGTGCTCTGCCCTGGAGCAAAAGTCTCCCTCTTTAAAGGATAAAATAATGGTGAAGGAATTGCTAAAACTTCTTCAGAAACTAACTCGAGACCGATTCCCCGTTTGGCCACACCCATAGCTCGTGGGGGAGGCGTCAGCCTCGGTGGGTATTCTGCCCCCAGTGAGGGTCCTTGCTGACCTTTCACACGCATTTGGGGGAGCGGTGTCACCTGCCCTTGGTGACTGTGGGGAGTGACAGTGTTGTCACCTGCTCTCAGTGGCAGTGGGAGTGGCAGCAGCAGCGTGCAGAGCTCCCGCTCCTCGGGGACCCTCCATTGGCACCAACAGACTCACGGTCCGTTGTCTCCCCCCTTCTCTGTGGTCATTCGAGGGTCGCAGCAACCTCGGAAGGCCTGGGAGGGAAATAAACCCTCCCCAGGTGGTTTTAGACGCAGGCGGGCGAGCCAGGCCTTGGGCACACAACCCCTTGGCAATGTCCCTGAGGTGGAGGGGCATGGGCGTCTCGCCGCTCCCTGACCCTGCCCATGCCTGTCCTGGCGCAGAGGGCTGGTGTGGGTTCCCTCATGTGGCGTCACTGCCATAGCCCTGCCACTCTGGGCCCCCCCACCTGGGCACCGCGGTTGGCACTGCGGAGGGTCCGCCGTCCCTGGGGGCCATCCTTGTAGGAAGCACTGGGGGCTGCAGAGCCCAGGTAGGTGCCCAGGAGACGTGGCGGTGGCCAAGCCCGCCGACCTTTCGCCGCCTCGTGGCGCACACAGAGCCCTGGGCCCTGGCCACCCTTCACGCCTGAACCCCGCCTGTTCACGCAGGGCAGTCTCAGTGTGTCCCAGCCAGGCTCGGGGACAGGTCTGCAGGGTGCGGGGCCGGCACCATTGTTCTGCCCTGTCTGTTCTCGTGCGTCAGGTAACGTGCAGTTACCCACGGGGCGCTTGGTTTTCTAGAAGCCGGGGAACGATGCCGTCTCCCAGGACCCCACCAGCCCAGCCTTGAGCAGCACCGAGCGGCCAGACGGAGGTGGGGCAGGTACGTGGCCCATTGCTGTCCCCCTGAGGAGAGTGTGTCCCTGGGGTCCTGGAGTCACGTGATTGACAGGAGAGAAAAGCGTGGCGGCAGGAAGGGGCCTCCATGGCATTCCCCAGCGCCCCCAGAGCACCCTCCTGGGCACCCTCCCACCCCTGTGGCCTGTGCCGTTGTCCGATGTCCCAAGGGACCGAGTTAGAAGAACTCCTAGGCTCCTGGCCTTCTGGAGAAGGAGGGGTGGGCCTGGGGACACAGCTGGCGTTTTTAAATCCGAGCCCTGCGGCATGTGGCTATTTTGTCCGACTGGGGACTCCCTTCCCCTGTCACTTGCACACATGCGAAACCCTGTGTCCTCTGTCCCCTGACGCTGGAGGTGACCGAAGGGTGAGGTGCGCAGATGGAGTCCAGTGGGGCTCGTGCCCTGGGTTTGGGCCTCACCGCCTGGACGAAGCCACCACATGCCGCCCGGCATCCGGCCAGATCAGGCAGTCCCGGGGGCGGGTGCCGTGCCGTCTCTGAGCTGCTCCTGCTGCTGTCACGGGCTCGGCTCTCATGCGGAACCCGAGCCCAGGCTGCCAGTGGTCAGGACGGGCTCACCGCTGGCCGTGCCTGGAGCGGGGCGAGTCTGAGGTCGAGCGAAGGCTGCGTGCGTTCGGACCCCCGAGGGCCAAGCGCCACTGGTGCCACACCGTCCTCTGATAGCCGTCAGGCCCAGGAAAGTGCCGGCACATTCGCGCTTTCTCAGGGAGTCCCAGCCTGGCTCGGCAGGTCTCGTTCTGAAGTGGCGCTAGGACGGCGCTGTCTCCCTAAGCGTCTGTGACGAGCACCGTCGCTGGGTCCGGCAGGCTGGCCCTGGCTCTGGTGACGTCAGACGACTGGGCTCTGCACCTGTGACCGTCCAGTGACGTGTGCTTTCCCGCCCCTTCCTAGTGCCCAGGCCGCACCCAGGTGCCCCGGAGAGCCGCTTCAGCTTGGGAACACCCGAAAGGAACGTCAAGTCAGAGCCCAGAGTGGACATGGGTACCAAGCCCCGCGGCACAGCCGGCACGCCCACCAGCCCGAAGCCCCTCCTGCAGTCCCCGAAGCCCAGCCCTGCCGCACGGCCCACCATCCCACAGAAACCGAGATCTGCTTCGCGGCCCGGTAAGGGCTCATGGTCGGGTCACGTGGCCAGGTGCCTTCCCGGGTCAGCCAAGTCAGGGTTACAGGTGGCTCCAGGGCTGCTGGGTGCTGGGGGTCATGGGAAGCCTGTCCTGAGTGACGAGGGAGTGAGCGTGGGTGACAGGGACTGTCCTCGCTGTCGGGTCCACAGTGCGGACCTGTGTGGGCCTGCCGTCCACACAGCCCAACCGGCTCTCTGGGCTCTGGACCCCAAGGTGGCGGTTTGAGGCCGGGGTCAGTGGTGGGGGAAGCACCATCTCTGCCTGGGTGGGCACCCCATGTTCCGTGCCGTCCTGAGCCTAGGGCTGGGCGATACCATCACGGAGGGGGCTGCGTCCGCGCTGGGGCAGTGGAGCAGTGAGGTGGTCTTACGGCCCACCCAGCCTGCAGGCTTTCCCCAGGCCCGTGCAGGAAAGGCTGGTCGACTTTGCTTTAGAACACCAGATGGTAGGGACCGGCAGGCAGTGGCTAAGGTCTGGGCTCCCACCCGGCTGACTGTGGGGACCGGCAGGCAATGGTAAGGTCTGGACTCCCACCCGGCTGACTGTGGTTTGTGTCCTAGGCCCAGCAGCTTGAGACTCTGACCAGGTGCATGTGCATGTGCGTGCCCAGGGTCCCGAGAGGAGACTGGAGGAGAAGGGATTGTGGTGTGGCCATCTCCCCGGGGAGTGATTTCTCGCTCTCTCTTTCTGTCTCTCTGGCGAGCACATGCTCCCTATAGCAAAAGTCTCTTTCAAAAAGAAAAGAGAAAGGAAGAAAAGAGTTGATAGGAGAAGCTTGCGAACACCGGAAGTGGGACGGGGCCGCTCTCTCCCACAGAAAAGGCTGCCAGGGGGAATTCCCACCCGGCTGACTGTGGTTTGTATCCTAGACCCAGCAGCTTGAGACTCCGACCAGGTGCATGTGCGTGTGCGTGCCCAGGGTCCCGAGAGGAGACTGGAGGAGAAGGGATTGTGGTGTGGCCATCTCCCCGGGGAGTGATTTCTCGCTCTCTCTTTCTGTCTCTCTGGCGAGCACATGCTCCCTATAGCAAAAGTCTCTTTCAAAAAGAAAAGAGAAAGGAAGAAAAGAGTTGATAGGAGAAGCTTGCGAACACTGGAAGTGGAACGGGTCCGCTCTCTCCCACAGAAAAGGCTGCAGTGGGTATTCTGTTTGAGCCACGATTAGGAGGCTTTTCCAACAGACACGAGAATGAGTAACACAGTGAGCCTGGCAGCCCTCCACCCCTCGGCCCCCCCGCGGTAGGCCCACAGGGATGGAAATGACAGGCACGTCTTCACCGTCACTGTCACCTCCCACCACAGCCACCCTCAGCGGGGCACCTGCTCTGTGCCTGGCTCCATCCTGAGTGTGTCCTGAGGGCCCACCCCCGGTGTCCCGCCACCTCTCCCTGTCACACATGGGGAGTGCGAGGCAGAGACGCCCAGCCGGCCAGTTCCAAGGCCCGGGAGCAGCAGCCCGACCGTGCGGCCTGGCCGGGAGCGTGGCGGCCACTCACGGGTCACGCCCGTGGTGTGCAGTGTCAGCCATGCCCAGCGCGTCACACCTGCTTATCACTGGGGAAGCGGGGGGGGAGGCTCTCCATCGCTCTCTGAAGCCCTATAACCAAATAGACAAAGTAATTGGTTAATTTACAAAAATCGCCTCTGGTTGAGGCAGGGGCTCCAGGCTTAACCTGTCATAAATAAGCAGTTTTTTCTTTTTCTTTGGTATGGCTGTTACATCACTAAGAAGAAACATGAAACTAATTATTATCTAGAAAAAAAATCTGTAATTTTTTGAATTTGGAGTCCATTTTCTCCACGAGCAGGAGAGTGAGCCAGCCCCTCAGTAAGATCTTCGTGCTGCGTCACCCCAGCCCGGCCGGCTCACAGGGAGGCCCCGGCGTGCGGGGCCAGACCTCCTGTGCAGGCCTGGCTGCTGTGTCCTGGGGCCCTGCCTGGCCCCCCTCCGGCTTCTGGAAAGCCGCTTATCCGTGGAGTCTCACCTGGCTCGCACCCTTGGGCCCAGAGCAGCAGCCCGCGTCATGTTGTCTGTCTCCGCAGAGGATGCCCCGAACTCACCGTCTGGCCCCGGCTCCCCTAAAGTTGCCCTGCTTCCGCCCGTCCTGAAGAAAGTCCCATCGGACAGGGACAGAGACAGCCAGAGCGGCCCGCAGCCCAGCCCCAGGTCATTTTCCCAAGAAGGTAAGTGTTTTCTCAGCGTGTCCCCGAGGAGGGTTGTCTCACAAGAAGAGCCCCGATTCCAGCCCAGCTGATAACCAGGACGTGTCTGTACCGACACCCCGGGCTAGAGCTTTGGAGTGGGGCCCAGCTGATAACCAGGACGTGTTTGCACCGGCACCCCGGGCTAGAGCTTTGGAGTGGGGTCGTGTCCTGACCGAGAAGCCCGGGTCGATGTTGATGCCGCCTCTGCGAGGTGCCTTTCAGGGTGGACTCAGACCTCCCCTCGTTTTGCATGCCGTGTCTGCGATGCTGACTGACGAGTTCTGTAGACAGCAGCGTGTTTGCCTAGGACAGAATGTAGGCTCCTTGGTTCCTAGGTGGGGCGGCTGAGCTGACGTTGAACTTTTAGTATTAATATTTCTCTTTTTTTTGGAAAGGTTTTTGCTATAGGGCACGTGTGCTAGGGTTGTTTGTGTCGTGTTTCTGTCACTCCCTGAGGTGTCGACCGCAATCCTGTCGGACCATCCGAGCATAGCCGGGTGACCCCCAGGAGAACAGTCTCCCCGCTCTGGGCCGACCGCAGTCCGCACCGCCCTGGCTGAGAACAGCCACGGCCGCACATGTGCTTAGCACCGCCAGGGCTAGGATTTGAACCGGCTCACTTAACTCCAGGCTGCAAGCTAGCCTAGAAAGTACTGGGCTCTCACGCAGCCAGCTGCAGTCTGAGTCCCAGACCCTGCAGCTTCAAACTCACGCCAGCCACATATTCGTGCATGCCTAAAATCCCGAGAGGAGAATGGAGAAGGGACTGCGTATAGCCACACCCGGGGGAGATTTCTCACTTTCTGTCTCTGTCTCTGTCTCCTCATGAGAGCACATGCCCTGTAGCAAAATCTGTCTCTCAAAAAAACAAAGGATTCTTACATCACATCACTAACATTAATTAGAACCCGAGTTCCAAGAAGCTAAAATATGAGGAAGAATGGAAAACATGATTTCGTTTTCAGTCTACGAATTAGAACAAATATTAGCTCTGAAGAGTGACCATTTTCCATTCTTGTGTTGAACCTGTGGCTTTGGAAGTTTAACTTCGAGTCATTATATAGAAGAACAACTTCGTGGGTTTTAACTGCACGTTGAAATGTAGCCGAGGTCACAGTTGGACTTACTGCAGAGCATCATGGCGCGGGAGATGGGGACAGCGCAGCTCTTCCCGGAGTCCCCGTCCTTCTCACGCAGCCGAGAGCTTCGGGTTCTCGGTGTAGCATCCAGCTGGCCGAGCGGTAAAGGGCAGCAGGGGTGTGGAAGCTTACCCTCTTCCTCTAACGCTGGCTTCTTAGCAAGGTCCCAGGCAAGTGTACTCGGTGCTTTTTACGCAGCATGAGCCTCAAAATAACACCCAGCCTCATATTTGACCACTGGGCCCCTGTGAGCCTCTGCCGGGTGCTGTTGGGCAGCAGAAGTAAAAAAATTGAGATCTATTTTCATGAGACTCGAAAGTTGTTTTTTCCTTTCAGGATTTTAGGTCATTTCAATGTAATGTCATGAACTAAAAATGCAAATTTTCCTGTCCAGACATCAGAGCCTGGCTTCGGCTGGCCTGGTCTGGGCCGGAGAAGGACTTGTTTGCATTTGCATTCTGAGGACTGGGCCTGGCAAGCGGTCTCCTGGCGCCGTCTTCAGTGGGTGCACTATTCAGACTGCCGCCTCCTGGCACGAGTGTTATAGCTCAGGGCAGGTGGCGAATGGTGAGAAGGGTCAGGTGAGCCCTGGAGCTTTCTAGGGACCGAAGGCTGGGCTCCTGCTTGGAGGTGGCACTGCGGAGCCGGGCAGTAGCCGTGCCCTTTTCAGCCCACAGCGTGTGCTCATGCACCTCAGCTGAGCGGGCGTGGTGGTGACACTCAGACCCTCAGTACTGCTTTGGAGTCTGGCGTCCACATCTTCTCCCAAGGCAGAGAGGCAGGGCCGGCCTCGCTGGGAGAAACGGGGGCTTTGGCGAGGCACTCGGGGAGACCCGAACTGAGCTGAGCAGAGCCCGCCTGCACCAGGCAGTTGGGGGGGGGGTGCCAGCTCAGAGCCCTGGCACACAGTGACACACTCATGCTGTGTAGCGGTCGCGAGCCTCAGGGTCACACGGAGCCAGGACGGGCAGCTATAATGGCTAAACGGTCCCTGGAGCTGAGTCTGGGGACCAACAGGCTGATCCGTGTTCACCAGGCTTTGAGGCGTTCCTTTCCGTGGGTGCAAATGGGGCTTTTCTGAGACTCAGGTCAAAGGTTCTCAGGGCCTTTCCTGACGCCCCGCCCAGAGCAGAGGGCAACCCCAGGTCCTGTGCACAAGGCGTCAGGGACCATCTGTCCAGCCAGGCCTCCTCTAGGCCTGCCTGTCCCCTGCTCTGCCACGCCCGGCCCGGTCCTCACTGCACTCAGCACAGCAGGAGGGTCGTCCTGGCCTGTGCCTCTCTTCTTTTGTCTGGCCTCGCTGGTCCGCCTCAGGTTGCCCTCCAGTCTGGGCACGGGGGCAGCCAATTCCTGAGCCACGCTGAGCCCACCCGCTCACCCTTCACTGCCCAGGCCCTGGGGTCACCTTGTCACCAAGCCGCACGGTTCTCTTTCAGTGCCGAGGAGGAGCTGGGGCCCGCAGGCCCCAGAGTGTGTGGAGCAGAAGCCGCGGCCCTCCAGCAAAGACGGCCATCAGGGCAGCAAGTCCAGTGACTCCCCCCCCACCCAGCCAGGCGTCCCGCCCCTCCCCAAGCTCCGCCCCACCCAGACCCGCACTCCGCCCCTTCCCCCAAGCTCCGCCCCTCCCCCGAAGCTCCGTCCCCGAGCTCCACCCCCTCCCGGTGCTCAGTCCTGTGCTTCCGTTCTTCCTTGGGTAGGAACAGATCTACTGTTTGGTGACATTTGTTTGGCCGTCCCTCAACCCTCCGCCTTTGATCTCTAAGTGTTTCTGCACATGCCTTCCATGAAAGCCAGCAACCACTCCGTGGCCTACTCAGCCTCTCCGAGCAGCCAGATGGCCCTGTGAGGCATGGGGAGGGAGACGAGGACCCGGACAGGCACGCTCACAAGGCCGGGGCGGGCAGGCGGCTCAGCCCTGGTGCAGGCAGCTGCACACTAACCCCACTCACAGCACACTAACGCGCTGCGTGTACCGGCTATGCACCACCTCCGGGGCTGCCCAGTGCTTCCTGCTGCCGTGGGCTCGCCCCAGTGCTTCCTGCTGCCGTGGGCTCGCAGGCGGGAAGCTGGTCGGACCCTCACAGACCCCCGCGAGCATACTACCCCGAGGGAGAGCGGCCTTGCCGGGCCCTGTGCCCGGACCACCGAGCACACTCCCCCGAGGGATGGTGGCCTTACTGGGCCCTGTGCCCGGACCACCGTGCGCGATCGACTGGAACCAGGATTAGGAGATTCGTGGCTTAAGAAGGCCTTTAACTTCTGTCTGCATATTAGTTTTTAATGTGTGATTTTAAGAGAGGCTAAATTGACACCTGTAAAAAATCAAAATAATCTTTATAAGACACTTCATAAATATTCACTTACATTACAGGCTGGAGTATTTTATTCATATGTATATTTATACCAATAAAATGATTTTACAAGTGGAATGTTCACCTTTTCCAGTTACGTTTTTAGCTAGAATTGTGGTAGGGGAGCTTCGGTTCTGTTCCCAAGTCGTGAACAGTCAGTTCCCCCCAGCCCATCTGGGAACTGTACCTCGAGTTAAATGTAACTTGCTGACCCCACTGCCTGCTCCGGATGCCAGACGGCAGGGCTGCCCATTCCGAGGGCACCTCGCGGCTGAGCCACTTGCTGCTTGGCAGTCTGAGGTGGGTGACTAGGGAGAGGCCGGCACCAGGGAGCAGGCAGGCAGACCGAGCCACAGATGTCTCCCCACTACACAAGGCCAGTGACCGCCGAATGCCATGGTGCCGTGGGGGCTCACACTCGGGACGGGCTGCAGAAAATGGCCAGGAGGCCTGGGAGGGGGCATCTGTGGGCGGCTGGAGGGACGACTGCCAGCAGAGGGACTGCGGGGTCCCCCATGTGACCCCATAAGTGTGTGTGGCAGGGAGACTCAGGACGGGCAGGGCGTGGGCGTGGGTGCAGTCAAGTCAGCTGGAGGTCGGAATCCGTGGGTAGCAGCACAGCCCGGGCCAGCCTTGGCCTCGGCAGGGAGGGGCCGACAGCCGCCGTGGGGCTTCCTTAAAGAGTGGGGACTTGACCTGCAAGGAGCCTGCAGTTTGGAGCAGTGAGGTAACCGGAGCCGGGGGTAAAGGACGGTCCTGGGGGCTGGGACAGGTGCCTGGGCGGGGGGAGGGGGGCTGCTGCAGGAGAGGTGCGCTTCGGCTTCCCCTGGGGCCACTGCCATGCCTGCCTGTCGCGGCAGTGGCCGGCAGGCCCCACATAACTGCTAACGTACTTGCAGGGAACCTGGTGCCAACCCTAGCTCTGCCAGCTGCAGCCAGCCCCGCAGTACGGAGACCTGGCTCTCAGGCAGACCCTGCCCCTGCCCTGCAGCTGCAGTCGGGCGCTTTGCTTCCCTCCATCCCATCCTGTTTTCTCGCTCACTGCCTTCCAGTGCTCAGTGGGTCCTCCAGGGGGCCCCTCTGTCCTTCAGGTTTCTCGAGCCTCTCGGGAGTGCCAGTGCCGCGGTCCCAGCAGTTGTGACGTGTTTCCAGATGCATGTCATCCCATGTCGGGAAGGGACTGAGGATAGTTGGGAGCTTCCCGAAAGCCCTCCAGCAGACCGAGAGGGGCAGGAAGGGACACCGCGGAGCTGCGGTGACAGCCGGGCATGAAAGCCCTTCGGAAGACCGAGGCGGGTAGGAAGAGGGCACGGCGGAGCTGCAGCTACAGCCGGGCGCTTGCCTGACTTCCTGCCTTTTCAGTGCAACCCGGGGTGGGGGGAGGAGGCAGCATGGCCCTCCCATCTAACTATATAGAACCGAGGCTCGGAGAAGTTGAGTAGCTTACTTGGGGTTGCACAGCTCACGACACAGGCAGTGTCACCCCAAACCCCCCTTCAGCACAGTGCCCAGCTCGACTCCTGGTTCCTAGTCTGGAGGTCTGGAAGCTGGGCAGAAGTGGTCAGGACAGCGCGCACAGCTGAGCGTGAGGTCTGCCCCACCACGCGCACACGCGGAGGGCACCTGTCCCCGGCCTGTAGTCCCGGCACAGCCCAGCCCTGCGGGTTCCCTCTGCCGTCAGATGACAGGGACAGGTGGAGGAGGCCCCACCCGGAGAGGAGCTAGTTCCTCAGCTGGGAGCCCCGCCCAAGCAGGCACTGGGCCCCATGGGCCAGTCGGGCAGGAAGGGCACTGACCCCCGGGGCCGTCCTAGGGAGAAGGCGGGACGTTCTGGGCCGTTCCCCCTTCTGCATCCAGGGGAGGCCGGGCTGCTGAGGCTAGGCTGTTCCAGGAAGGCTTTCCATGGAGACGGAGCAATCCCAGGTATGCCCCTCTCCCTGGCAAGAGTGCACGCCCTAACAAGCAGAAACATGTAAGTGAAATGACCCCGTAGAGGAACCCTAATGACGGGGCCACGGCACTTCACTCTGCATGTGAAAACCTGGCCGGGAGC